CGGTGGCGCACTGGAGCGACTTGCTCCTGGAGCAGCTAACATGGGCTTTCCATGTGACGTTGCAGGCGGTGGTGTTTCTTTTTGTTCCTTTTCGCAATCGACGGTTGAGATCGATTGAATCGGTCTCGGGACGTGGTTGGCGCACGATTGATCTGAATGCGCCCTCATCTATCGGGCGGCGGATTTTGGGGGGTTGAATAATATTCGGACGACAATGCCCTCATACATTAGCTAAAATTCCCCATGCGAGCCTTTTTAATGCATTGGCGCTGAGGGCATAATGGTCCTATCGGTTCGACATTTCCCGTCCTGACCTTTATCCGGTTCCGTTCACGCGGCCCGCGTGCGCACGTCATCTGATCTGGCGAAAACGCCCCGCGGCGGTGGCGGAACGGGGTGCGTTTTCCGGCTGGTCAAAGTCAAAGCCTCCATTGGATTCCCCTGCGCCCGCGTTTCTAGGCGCAACTGTCGGGGAAGTGCGCCGAAAGAGAGGTATGCGCGTCGTGGAGGGAACTTTAGGACCTTTGAGATCTGTCTTGCAGCAGGACTCCTTTTTCCCGTCCCACGCCCATTCAAACACTAATGGGAAGGACGACGGGTACGTGAGCGCCATTAGGGAAGATGAGAGCTTTTGTTAAGTCATGAGAAGAGGAGACACAGAGACAACGGGAGCTTTCCTTCTCTGTTTAATGAGTTGTGTTGCTTTGAAGAATCGTAGCGTACTGGAACATCGGAAGGACGGGTGGCAGGTGGGTTCAAATGTGGAAGAGCAGGTGGTGCTCACTGTAACTGAGGTCACCACTCTGGTCCACGTAGTTGTCATCTGGGAGAACCTGGCAAACAACTCTTTGTTTTGCCATCAAGTTGGGCGGCCTATATAGGAAACAAAAATTAAGTGCAGCCAGCAAATTCTAAGAACAGATGGATGGATAAGAATTTTCAATTTTGTTAGGTGACCAATGATCACAGTTTGTCTAAGAAGAGAGTACTGACATCTGTATGGTGAGATGTCCGTTGTTTGTTTAAGCATCAAATATTTAATATCCGCATGATAAGTTTCTACTCTGCTTAGTCATCTAGTCATTGGAAACATGTATGGACTAATATTTTTCTGTAAGTTGGAAATGACAATGAAGTCTGCTGCATTAATGAGGTAAAACATGGTTAGCATAGTAATGAAAACTCATATCAGGCATGATTTGACATATTTAACTGCAAAGAAAGCTATGAAAGCAAGTGCTGGACTCCTAAGAAAACTAGTTGATTTAAAAGACATCTCGATGGCACTAGACTTCTTTAAGTTGCCATCTAGTCAAGTTCAGTGGCTGTGTCCAAAAATTTCAGGATTGCAACCTTAGAAGAATTTTGACTGGTATTTTGTCCACTAATTGACAAATGAAAGTTGAAGTCTCAGTCAAAGTTGTGTAAATGTCAGAGAATTGTTAAAGAAACTAAAAAAATGTGCTATGTCACTCTCATCTGCGATCAATGCAATATTACATCCAAGATTATTGCTTCGATCATTCATTTTTTAGTCAGCCTCTGGTTGTTAATAGACTTAAAAGTTTTTTGCTATCTTATTTGTATATGCAGTACATTCAGCCTAATAGGCAAGAGATGTGGCCCATTTTGCTGGCAATGAATCATGGACGATTTATTAGGAAAACCTAAGTTATCACTTTTTACTATGAAGCAACCATATTTTTTTTCCTTAAAGGTATTAGCTAACTTAAATAGGAAATAGTTCAATAGTATATCGTAAGGTTCTGGCTCGAATCCCATCTTCGTCACTTACCCTTTGCCAATATATATATATATATATATATATATATATATATATATATATATATATATATATATATATATCATGGAGCATCCCACCTTTTCTAAAGGACAATTTTGCCCTTGAAAAAAAATTCCTTGATCGGTGCTTTGCTGGCATTGATGCTCACATTCAGGTGTGAATTTAACTGCCTCTGTGGCATGTTCTGATAATTGGGGTTCTCTAGGACAAAAAATTGAAAATTTGAGGTTTCCTTCAGCATATCTCCCATTAAGTGTTACTTCTTTATGGTGTAAAATGTGAGCTAGTCCACCAAATAGTTCTTTCCTTGTACTGACTGCCAAAGTATATAACTAGGTTGATGCTTAGATCAATATCCTCTCTCTTAAGTCCTTTTGCAGACAATTCAAATGGCAATTGTACTGAAACATCGACCTTCCATCTGTGAACGTGCAGGGATGCAAGCCAACAGAAGGCAGAGATGTTGTTGGACCCTCGGCTTCGCCAAGCCCTCGTTCATCATCCCACCAGCCAAGTCCTTGTATCTCATACAACCCAAGCCCGGCCTCGTCGACCTTGGCAAGTCCTGAGTCCTCGACCTTGGTCACAAACACCAAGAATACAGCTAGCGGCACCGAAGGCAATTCTCTTGTTCCATGGTTAAAGAGCCTCTCACCGGCCTCATCCTCCACCTCTTCCAAAATACCGAACATCCACCATCTCTACATTCATGGAGGATCGATAAGTGCCCCGGTAACGCCTCCACTGAGTTCCCCCACTGCTCGTTCCCCACGTATCAAGACTGTTTGGGATGATCCAAACTTCCAGCCACCTTGGGCTGGCTCCAACCACAATTTCTTCCCTTCTTCCATGCCACCAAGCCCTGGTCGTCAGGTGACTCCTGATGCTGCATGGCTTGCTGGCTTACGGCTTCCATCTGGTGGTCCTTCATCACCCACCTTCAGCCTTGTATCACCAAATCCTTTTGGCTTGTACAAGGAAGCCAGTGGCTCCAGAATGTGGACTCCAGGGCAGAGCGGGACATGCTCTCCTGTGCCCGGTGGCCACAGCCATGGTAATGTTCAGATGTCTGATGTTGGTTCAGATGAATTTGCATTTGGCAGCAGCAGTAACCACATTCCTACAACAGTTGGGTTGGTGAAGCCATGGGAGGGGGAGAGGATTCATGAGGAATTTGTATCGGATGAGCTGGAGCTCACTCTTGGAAGTTCAAACACCAGATCTGTTGCCTGATGGATAGCTCAATGAATCACCACCACTCTACTTCCTGTTTTTGTTTTTGTTTTTGTTTTTGTTTTTGTTTTATTAATCAGATTGGGGTTCCTATGTTGGTTCGAGGAGTTAGGTTTTAATTTCTAGTTTTCAGCCTTAAGCCTCTCTTAAGAAACCAGCACATTTGATCTTTCTTTCAAGTTGTCTCTTGGTCATGTTATATAGAGTTTGTGCAGGAAGCAAAAAAAAAAAGAAAAAAAAAGGGCTAAACATATATGTAATAGAACTGATTAGTAAAATGCTCATCATTTGTTTCTTCAAAATGTGTATTAGATGTTATATCTCTTGCTTAGTTTGAATCAGTTGTACTGTATTTATAACTTTATATGAGCTTCTGCTGATTATTTTTCGGCTATCTGCAAATGAATACCGGAAATTGTTGAGATGAATGTACCCGGTATTTTCATTATAAAATGAGTTGAAATTATTTAAGATTATATGAATATGTTTTAGGATATATATAGCTATTATAGTTAGAAAATATGAAATAATTATTCCGCATAGAGAGAAAATTATAATTATAAATATAAGTATTTTTAATTGATTGGCTCTAAATAGTTGGATCCGGTAAAGAAAAAAAGAACTAAATACCTAATGTCGGTAAACTCATGTGCCATGGTCGAGGAGTCATCACGGTTTGGTCAACGAGTCGATGTCCGGAGTCGTCGATGTTCGGGAGCGTGTTTCTTGATCGATTGGAGGCGATATCGAGGTTGGGGTGGTTGCTGCTCCAATGCGGGGATTGAGCTGGCTCAGGAGTTGTCACGTCCATGCACACAGACCTGGGTCGGGGAATTCTCGACTTGAGCCCCTCGTAGATCAAGTCAATAGTTTTTTCCTTGTCTTTTCCTCCTTTAGCTAGATGTCAGTCAGGGGCTTTTATACCGGTGTCCGAGGGTCGGTCGTACGCGGATTTGGCGTGGCGGTCGCTCCCCCTTAGAGTGGCGAGTACGTACCTTCGTGCAATCGCCTCCCGATATGCGTGGAACGACGTCATGCGGTGTCGTCCTGAGTTTTCCAGAACGGGACTTGTCGAGAGGACGCCTCCCTGTACGGGCTTCGGCTCAGCGTGGGAGGAAGGCGACCCTTGTGCTGAATCTATAGGAGTGTATCCGTCGTGGCGCCTGGTCCATATCCCGAGGGTCCATGTTCGTGTTGATGCTAGAGGTGGATCGTGACGTAGATCATGACACGACCGATCGATTTCGAAATATGTCTTATCACCTAAGTAAATGATGAATCTCTCCTTTTCTAAATGGTTTAATAAACGGTTAACTAGAGGTGTGCTTTACACAAATTAAAAATTAAAATAAATGATTTCGATTCAAAATCGAAATCGAAATTGTTGATTTCTGAATCAGAACCGAATCTATCTAAAATCTATGCAGCAGATCCGATTTCAAATTTGATAGAATCAAATTGTGCGTTTTGAAATCAAGATCTTATGATTGTAGTATTAAATAAGGCCACCTGTTTTGTATCCGAACAGCGGGCTTCAAACACTTGACATTTTTGCGTCGTCAACATCTGATCGAATTAAATGCCTTTCTCCTGTGCGATGATCGAATCTTGCGTCTCTCTCAAGGCAGTGAGATGTCTCCTTTCGGCATTTCTTGATCATTTCTTTTCTCCTTTTTTTAGACGAACGGAGGGCGACGGCCCACCAAATTGTCATAAATAAAGAAGAAGAAGAAGAAGAAGGAATCAGGAGCGCAGGGAAAATGGCAGACAGAGTGTTACGTGCATGAATCCACCAAACAATGCACGTCAGGCTGGATTTGAAGTTATCAATCACCGTTGATCCATCTAAAAGCTTGATAAGCCACCATCTGCTGAGATTTATATTCTCAACAATCTTGGAATTGAGATTAAATATCCATGAAAACTCTTAAGGTTTGTATTATATAAGAAAGTCCACATGGAATTTGTATTATCCAATCCATACTTTATTCAGTATAATACAGATCAATTTCAATTATCCAGAATGCCAGGACTAGGTGAAGAAAAATATGGCCATCTATCATACATTTCCATCTCGAGTTACCTGGAAATTGTAGTGAAAGTGTCAGTGGCCATGTCTTGTATGATCTAATGTTCATGGCTGGCTTCCCTTGACCTCTCCCTCCTTATATACATTAGAGCTTGCTGAGCTATAAGGAGAAATCAACCAGCACGCGGAGATAGCCTGAGCAGGGACTGAAGGCTGCACCTACTTCTCTCTGCTCAAGCATCCTACCTCTGCTTACCAGAAATAATATGAACTTATCTATGTTCTATGTAATCTACTGAAGTAAAGACCGGCATTGTATGTTTACCAGCCTGTCTCTCTCTCTCTCTCTCTCTCTCTATCTCTTTCTGTGTCATCACTCACGCAACCATACAGCTGCTTATGAGTTCATCGTTGTGGTTTAAGTGGCTTCGCCAAATTTTTCGTAGTTCTGGATGCCCGGTCTCAAGCCATGGCTTCCCCAGTCCGCTAAAATGAATGACCGCAGCAGAGTGTAGCAGTTCGGGATCGGGCATTTGCCAACCTAGCCCTGACAAAAGCCATGAACGATTGAGTGGCAGCACTTGTCCATGGAACGCTAGTAGTGCAGGCGGCAATGACCCCATGGGCCACAATGCAAATCCAGATTCTCGATTCTGCATAACAAGAAATATGTTTTTGGTTAAGACTGTTCTCAGCTTAGCGCCTTGCGGATGCAAAAGAACAAGTTTTGGGTTTGGAAGAGCTTGCCAGTTTAAGCCAGAGCTGGTATTTCCTGGTGATGTTGTGCTCTCTCCATGCTTGCAGATCAAATATGTTGATGCCCTCCAACCATGCACATTGATCTCTCTGTAAGACATATGATGATGGTGATGCTGTCAGCATAGGATTCGAGAAATTTATGTAGTCCCCAAATGTCTTCCCGATACAAAGGCCATCACCCGATCCTTCATCATCACTTTCTTGTGCACTAACTGCGCCCATGACGAGCCCATGCAGATCTAAGTACCATAGTGATGTCAAGTCTCTCTGCACCACCACGTCGTCATGCATAAAAATCACTCTTTCCAGCTTTGGAAACAGCTGCACAGGCAAAACCGCTGGTTAGGCTTCTAATTTCACAACTTCTCCTATGGAAAATATAGGCACATATATCATTTGAAATCTGGCTCACCTCTGGAAGATGTATCCTCATATAATTCAAGAGCGAAAATGTGCTTGGTTTTAAAGCTAAAAGTCTTCTGGAGTCTTCATCTGCTCCCCTGTAGTAGCGATAAGCAGATGAGCTTCGATGGAGTTCCTCTACGGTGTCCATGATCACAGCATTCACATCAGGAGGAAAGTCGAACTGGTGAAGTCCCCTTACCTCCAGAATGGCAGGAAAGACAGGGTGGATAGCAAACCAAGCATGCATCGAGGTGTAAGTTTTCTTGTCAGTGATAATGTGGAACACTACCTTCTCAGGATCAGCAGCACTTGTCATGGTGGACGACACCATGACAGCAGCAGCAAGTATGTTGTCAGTGATCAGGGCAATGTGAACGTAAGAGTTATCTGTCAGGCACGAGGCATATTCAGGTGGTGGCAAAGAAGATCGAGCAGCAGTATTCACTAGGTACTGCTCCGCCAACCTCAAGCTGAGGCAATGCATGCTTTTAGGAATTCCAGTTGAAGCCAAGTGCTGAAAGATTAATGCTCGAAGCTTGGCAGACTGGACTTTCTGGTCCATCTTCAGGAGCTGACAAGAGATTATGACTCAGATAGTATGAAATTAATGATAGTTGGAAGTGTAAATGATCTATCAGATCCAATGAATTTTATGATAGTAGAACACATTAATGATTCATCATCATATTATAATAAACGAAAACGACAAAAGGGCAAAAAGAAAAAAGAAAAAAAGAAAGACATAATTTGAACTCACTCTAATTACTCACTCCAGATGCATCTCATGCCTGAATGCTGAAATTACATCATCAAAACAAAAAATGATGATGACCTCACAGCATTCATCCATATTATTTAGAACGACAAAATATATTTATTCAATTAATTTGGTTAAAAATCTTTTCCCTCTTATATAAATCCTTTTTGTGACTCCCCAAGATGCTAAAACTCATGAGCTAAGGTAATTATGCGTGGTTGGAGACTGAACATCCAGTCTGTACTTTTCAGACATCTGATGATGCACAACAGTCGGCTGTACACCATCAACCAACCGAGGCCCATTCAACTAGCAACATATCACATGCAAATAATACCCATCAACCTAACGAGTTGCCACTCTTGTGTCTTTAGATCATATGTGACATTGTTCTGTTTCAAACCCAAGTTGCCAAAATGAACAGCTCATAGACACGATAAATACTGGACCATGCTTTCTGCACCTCTACTTTTATGGCTAAAGTATGGTCCTTCATTCTTTGCCATGAAGCCTATGTTTAGTTCGCACAATGGGTTTGCAGCAGCCGGTTAATAACAGAATGGCACGATCTAATTCTCACTGTTGCAACTCTGCAATTTTTCGCCATCGACAATGACATGGTACCACCTTCATGCAACTCATGATCCTAACCATGCATCCCAATTTAGGTGGACCCATCAGAAGCTACAAGTTACTGCAACATTTATGAAACCCCATCCTTGAAACAAGGTTAATAGTCTCCTCCCTCCCTCCCTCTAAGGTGCTTTGGCAGTTGATTCACTCCTGATGGCAATTTCAGTTGAATTTTTGTTGACTGCATGAAACCAATGAATAAATTCAAATACACAGTGGTATGGGGTGAGAGTTTTATCTTCTAATGTGCAACTCAGCCTTTACCACAGCTTTAAAGTGACCTGTGACCCAGGACATGTATCATCATCATCATGATGGTCCCCCATGTGCCACCAGGCGACCTGTGTCCAAGTTGCCTCAGTTCTTGGCACATCCTAATTGTTCTTTTGCAAGGTTAAATGTCCCAAGTTCATAATGAGTTTGGATGCTGAACATATGCAGATCAGAAATAAAGCCCAGGAAGAGGATTCATGGGGGAGGGGGCAAACCTACCATGGCTTTGGTCTTCAACAATAGTGTTCTGAGGTCAAGGTGTTGATAGGAAGAGGGAGAGCTCATTTCCGACATCAGATCATCCAAAGAATCCGGCGCGGCATTGACCAACCGTGGATCTAAATTGTTGTGTCCCCCTTCCTCCGCCTCCTCCAAGTAAACTCTCCTCAACTCCTTCCCGAAATCCTGCAAACAAATATAACCAGCTTAACGAGAGCTAATCACGATAACCACAGAGTTGTTCTTTTACAGCCTTACACAAGCATTGAAAAGACGACATATTTCTGAATCCCATCAGCGCACGATCAGGGAACAGAATTGCACATGCATTGTGGGATGCTGCAGATGCTATTGCATCGTTCTGACACCACAGCGCTCCATACCACAAAGATTAAACCCAAAGAAAAAGCCATTTCACGTGCACTGTGGAATGCTGCATTTGTTATTGCATCATTCTGACACTTTCATACTCCAAAAAAAAAGCTCTTTTTTTGGGTTTGTGCGTGTGAGAGAAAACTAGTGGAAGGCTGCCCAGAAACCGCGTGGCTGCAGCAATTTTGGGCTGGATTCCAGTAAATCTAAATCTATCCACATGGTGGATTGCATTCTACGACATTTTTGTTCCCCAAATCAGACAAATTCTGAGAAATAAGAAGCAAACTGACCAAAATGCCCTGCACCGGAGCATCACGTGCCAACACAGTCGGCTCGCGGAGCAGTAAAAGAAGCAGAATGTGGCGAGGGAGCGATTACCCACCTGAGATGAATCGAGCAACAACCGAGGCCTAAGCGTCCACCCTAAGCAACCTGAATCCAATCCACTCATCACCGTCAGCATTTGCAACAATCCAATCGGTACCGGCGACCGAAGAAGGGAGAGAAAACAGGGGGTGAGAGAAGCGTACTGATGGAAGGGCAGATGGAGGCAGCGCGGGCGTCGAGCGCAAGGAAGGCGGCCCTGATGAAGACGAAGGGGAGGAGCAGCCCGGCGACGAGGACGGCGGGAACAACCAAGCGGTGAGAGAACCGCCGATTCGGTCCCTTCGGCTTCATAACCTCCCGCCGCGATACGGTCCGTCGCCTCGCGTCTGAGCTCGGGCCAGCACCAGTCTTACCACTGCCACCTCCGCATCATTCTCTTCTGCATTGATTCGAACGCCTTCGAACGGATAGGGAGCCGAACGAGATCCGAGTTGGAGACCCGGGGGAAGTGAGGGAAGGCGGAAGAGGAAGAGGCGAATGCCGCGTTCCAAGCGGCACGGGGAGAGGGCGGAGAGAGAGAGAGAGAGAGAGAGAGAGAGAGAGGGACAGGGGGGGGTGTATAAGCGAGGGGGAGAGGCTCGCACACAGAGGAGAGGAAGGATGAGATTCCCAAATTACCCCTCGGGAAGTCTTGAAATCGAGTGCGAGTCCACCGACACAATATTTTTATCCCGCTTTCTTTGTTATTAATATTACTAATAAATTTCCCATCTGAATTTTAATTTAAAAATGAAAATTTTAATTAAAAATACTCAGTAATTATTTTTTTATTAGCTACATTAATCATCCAATATCAAAAACACCATTTTTTTTTAGCTAATAAGGATTGCCTACATTTGTTAATAACCTAATGTAATTCATCATCATTGTGTATTTGTGTTAGATTTTATATGAAAAATATTAAAGTGAAAATATGGGATATATAAATAGTTAGGTATAACTTTTAATATAAGAAAAATTCACTTAATATGATATAAATATATACTAAAAATATTTGTAAATAAGATAATTATCATACTCTTATTGGTAATAAATACATCATGACTTAAGCTACCAAGAAATACTCAAAAATAATTTTTTTTTATCTTTTTAATTTGTTGCCTATGGCAACTTGTCAACTTAGCTACAAATCCAGCATCATCTTTTTCTTCATGAAAGGACATGGGAGTGGCTACTAAATTGCTATGATCGTGATGCTTTACCTACATGGAAATGCTTTCAAATCCACCCACTCATCCTGGGGCCCCATCTCAGGGGACGGTTGGATGCGGGATTCGAAGAGATCCACTTGCAAGCCTCATTGGAAGGGATCCTTCATAAACTTTGGTGATGGTGATCCAAAGCTACAATCATGTCTGTCTTGGCATGAATGAAGCAAAGAAGGGGAGGAAGACAAGCTTTTATGGCAGAGGAAGACTGCTCATTTTTGAGTCCATCAAAACATGAGATGAGTTTGGTTCCTCAGACAAACAAATCATGTACAGTTTTATTCCAATATATTCTTTGAAAGGGTTCAGCATAAATGAACAATCCAAATGTGTTTCTTTTTGACATATCTCACAACACTCTTTGGCAATCTAAATGCATTATGACATGCAACATTCAGCATCTTCCTTGATTCAGAATCTTCTATAGTGAGATCTTCAACCTAAGAGTAGATGATAGATAAATGCAGGCTACTGTCAGTGTGATGCTGACTTCTGGATAAGCATCTACCGAATGGCTCCATTGGCTCATCTCTATGTGCTCTGTAATGGCTGATCAAGCAGTGCATCTGAAACAGGCAAAAGAAATGGAAGGGTTTCTGTTTCCCGAGCAATTCCAAGCAGCCATAGAATACAGCTTTATGCCGAGCAAGTCCAAGAAATAGTGTTCGATCTTGGGAAGGAAAAATTGGCACATATGATGGATGAGCAGAGATAAATGGCTGACATGACTTGATCTCAATCTCCATTCTTTTCAGATCGAGTTCTCAGACTGCCAGCTGCGGATGAATAAGATCGCAATTCAAGTCCTCAACACAATCATCAGAAAGCTAATTGGAACAGAGGATTCAAACTAGTGGAGTCCAACTAAGGAGGGAGATAAGATGATGATGTGCCCCCAGGAGTCATATGATTGAAGAAAGAGCCAGTGGTCCTATCTGTAATTATTTTTTTTTTATTTAAATATTATTATTTAAAACTATAGCACATTCTAAATTCATCGATCCGTCGATCAATCGACGACGACGAAAGATTTTAAAAGAAACTATAAAACATACAAGTCTAAAGAAATTTTATAACCATCAGATTCAATCTTTGTTCCTATTTTGCACTAACCCTTCATGGATTCATAATTTTGATTTATTTTTATCGAATCAAAATTGAGTAATTTTGATGAAGAACACTAGTATATTTTTCGAAAAACTGATCGGGTTTGAGCATCTGCTTTAGAGCTTGTCTTTCTTTGCTTGTTAAAACAGCATATGAGTAGTGTTCTTTCTATTATTCTTACGAATATTATTAATTTCTGTATTAATATCATTAAATTCTCATAAAAATAATTAATTCGATGATGTATCAGACTGACCAAATCTGCGTTGGATTCGATCACTCCATCCTGTAAGAATAGTAAACGGCCCATTTATAGGAGGTTGGGCAGAGGCCCAATCTGCTAAGCGAGTGGACTCGAGTCGGCCTTCTTCTCGGCAACTTCTCTCGATCTTGCTCTGCAGGCAACTCCCTTCCGGCAAAAGGATTCAGTTTCCCTGCTCTTCCTGTTGGATTTCTCGTCCTTGGTGACTTCTTTTGGGTTAGGTATCTCTCGCTTGCTCTGTGCGTTGGATGGCAATGGGGTCGGTCTCCTTGTTTTCTTGATCGATCGGCATCAAATCCTGTTCGCGTGATGCTGTCTTCGAGGCCCTTCGATTCGGTCCCGTTGGAATCGCTCTTCTTCTCGCATGCAGATTCTTTAGCGTCGCGGAAAGCTTCGATCTTGCGCTGAATCATGCCGCCTCTCCTACCAAGTCGCGTATCAAGGGCGAAGAAACCACCACCTGTGCCGCACAGACATGGGAGGATTCTTCTCGCTTTGCTACTTGTTCTTCTCCTCGGCATGATCATTCTAGAAATCACGACAAATGGTAAAAGGTTCGGTAAACCAATTCCCCGTTCTGATCCATCGACGCTCAAAAGGAATGATTTTGTTGGAACATCAGCTCCGTCACAGGTCACCGTGGACTTCACGAATGGGACGGATGTGATATGGCAAATCCCCGAGTCGCCGAAGGCCGTCCTCTTCGTAGCTCACGGCTGCAGCTGCCGGGCTGCCAACTTCTGGGACCGATCCGCCGCGTGCCCGCACTGCGTCGGGCTGCCCGAGGACAGGCTCATCGTCCTCGGTGCCCTCGACCGCAAATTCGCTGTCCTCACCATCTCCAGCTCCGGGAGATGCTGGTCGAAGGAGAAGGACACTGGCATTGTTAAATGGGTAATCGAATGGTGGATCGAGAAGAATAAGCTACAAGAGCTTCCGCTCGTGGCTTTAGGAGCTTCCTCGGGTGGCTATTTCACTTCTGCGCTGGCAAAGGAGATGAGGTTTAGTAGCGTAGCGCTTATGATTGCAGAAGGGTTGTTTGGTTCTATGGGTGTACCAGTTGGCTATCCTCCCACCCTCTTTGTCCATATGCCTAAAGACCAGCACAGGATGAGGCTGATAGAGAGGAATATGATAGCGCTGCAGAAGAGGGGTGTTCATGTTAAGGAGGTCAGGTGCATGGAGTTCCCGTTGACTCCTACTCTTTTGTCGGATAGGATACCAGGTCTGGATCAGGCATTCTCTGTTAAGCTATTTGAGCTGTTTCAGGAGAAGGGATTCATTGATGAGCGTGGGTATTTGAGGAATGATGGGCGGGCAACTCCCTGGAAGCAAGCTCTCAGGGAAAGGGAACCTTCACTGGATAAATTTGAATGGATCGATCATATTCAGGAGGAGTTAAATCTTGCATTTGGATACCATGAGATGACCAGTCTACAGATAGATGATATCCTTGACTGGTTTGAATCTCACATGGGCTCATCGTTTGTCTCATAAACTGAAAAATATATGCTTCACTAGCTATCCACAATGCTCGATTTAATTGCCTAGTGGCATGGTACAGGATGACTATCATCTGGAAATTTTATCGATAAAACCAGAATATTTTTGGAATGGACTGGTGACCTGAGATATTGAGAATTGCAGAATTCTTTTTGAGGATCTTTGCTAATTTCATCTGCAGTAAACAAGTCTCCAGACTTTTTCTTTATGCATGACAAGTCGGCCCATAAAGCTCAGGGATCTAACATATCCACTGTTGTGAAATCATTGTCTGACTTTGTGTTACTGCCAGAGATCACCTTTTAATGCTATTCTTCTTTTCTGCAATTAAAATGAGAGGCAATGATCCGATCTGCAGGCTAGTCTTCAATTTAATTATGTGCATGTTTATCTTTGGTTTCTTCATACAAAGAGGCTGTATATAAGGGAAGAACTCTTCATTAAGTGTTTGTTGCATAAATTTATCTATCTGTTACTGCTCAGAATTAAGTCAATCTCTTGTGATATGGTCTGTGTTTGTAATATCATACTCGTGGCATACATAAGCAGTTGTTTAAACTAATCCTTAGTGGTTCTGGAACATTTCATTTTGCAGAATCTTGTACTTTTAAATTTTGTGTATGACTATCTTGATGAACAGTATTAAGGTTAAAATTTTCAGTAAAATAATATCCCACGTATAATTCTGAAATACACAATGATGAATTGCAATGACCATATTCATGTGTAGAGTGGACTGTGGAGAATAAAGGGGCTTCTGTCAGAATCAATTATTCCAACTTCTGTAGCCTCTCATCTAGTTGTTTATCTCTTTGCTGGTTCAGACACTAATAGCTATACCAATCACCGTAGCTTCCAAGATCATCAAGCCAGTCATTTTGTCCCAAATTACCTGTCTGTGATGGACTGACAATGTTCAGATGGCAGAGATCGTAAGGGGCAACAAGCTCAATGAGGATGGCTTTTGTTGGCTCTTGAGATCTTTGCACCCATCAACGTCAGTTGGTTTACTGCTTTTCTAATTATATAACATCTGTTATGTATAAATTTTTGTTACTTTCCTTCTCATCAGCCCTTTTGAGTTCTTATGCATACATTGAGATACCCACTAATGCCTACATTAAGGGCATTGCAAAGAGAAATAGATATATGTTTTCTTTTTTCCAAGATATGTTTTCTCTGGAGGTCAGCACACAAAAAACTGTAAAAAGTGGGGCCATAGTTCCCCTCCAAACAAAAGAAGAACAATTGGACCTAGCATGAGCAGCTAGCCAATTTGCATATTTGTTACCCTCCCTAAACAGATGGGAGATTCTAAAAAGAGAAAATTCAGTCAATAACTGCAAAAATATCATCTACAAGATTTTTTACGTGCCATGGATGGCTTGCTCTGAAATAGAGATATGCTTGAGAAATTACGTTTCCTATCAAACAAGAGCAATTTTGTGCAAATTAAGTTGCTATATTGTTAGTGACTTTTTCATTTGTGCTATCATTACTCTTTTCTGGACTCTGGAGTACGTCCATTGTTTTTCTACCCATTTATGGAGACCATACTACATGAATTTAAATAACTTGGTCCAAGGGAGCTTGCCTTATAAGCTGTGTCACTTCCCTTGTTATATTAGTGCCAAAGCTGCAAAATGACTTGTTGATTGCAGCGATTTGTTGACCAAATCTGCAGGGGAGGCTGTATAATTAGTTCAACTTTGTAGATATTTGATGTTTCCTATTGCAGCGATGATCTTTCATTTTCCCTCAAAATTCACAATCAAGTTGTGTTTTTTATAATTCTCTTCCTAAAATTCATGATGAGATTATACTTCTGTACATAGTTTGATTCTCAGCTTCTAGTCAAACTGCATTCACTTTTCTTAAGTTACCATAAGTTGCAGAACTAGTCTTAATGCTCTCTTTTCCACATTCATGTAATCAACTTCGACTATTTTCCCCCTTCTGTAGCCATAATCTACATTGATGGCTTATTTGGATTGGAGCATATTGCTCTTTGCCAAATGTTCATCATTTTTGGGTCTTCTTTCCTATGCCAAGATTCTTATATACTCATGTTTTTATTACATTCATTTCATTCTTTGAGTACAAAAGAATTTCTTGTTTGCTATAGGATCTTCTTCCTCTTAATATTTCTTTCACCTTCTTCTCTTTGGTACACTGTTTCACATCTTGATCACTAAATAAATATACAACTCTTTGCAGAATATACATGTCTTTACCCTCATATACTGTTGAACATGCCAAAATCATGTTGTCACTTCTCTAAGATGTTCCTTGATATTGACCTTTACATGATCTAACCATGAGACTGTAGAAGGTCTATAGGTTCTCGTTTTGATTTTGGTTTGGTCGAAGAATTCGGAATCATGGTTGACCTAGATCAGCTGACTTGGATAAATAGGAATATATATTAGTGACTGAATATACTGGGATTAGCAGTGCTCTATCAACCAGTAGGTAATTAGCTAGACTTCCAGGATATGCCTGGCAATCCCTTGAAAAATCAAGGGTTTCAGGATTCTGATTGAATCAATCTAATTGTTCTTTAGTATTTCTTGCTCGAGTTGCTGATCAAGTGATTGTAGAGAACTGGCATTATACCACAATGTGAATCTGTCACATAATTGCATTAAATTTTATATATTTGCTTGAGTTACTCTTATATGGAACCTGCAAATGATATTAGTTTGAATTTTTTTTAGTGATAACCATGAACCTGATAATGCATATGAAAAATGTTTTTAGGTGGTCGACAAGCCTTTACTAAGCATGTTATAAACATGTTTACCATTTATCCTACTCTGCACACTCTATATATGATATCCATTTAACAGTCAGTTATTCTTGGAAGGCTCTTGAGAATATTAATTGTTCTTTTTGCAAATACTTGGTCGAATTTTTTGGTGAGGCACATTTTCCTTGAAACTGAATTTCTGAAAAAAATTGATGTTTGATTTTTAACTTTTTAAGCAAACTTTTTTGTGGCACCTTCTCTAACCTGTTTTACTTTTATTGACTTTCACAAACTAGGACTGTTCCGATATTCTTGTTTCCTTGAAGGCACCATCTTAAAGCTTACTGGCAAATTTAACTGTCCTTCGACAACTTTGGGTTCTTTCCCATCAACACCTATTTGCTTAGTCCTCATCAATTCTCTCTCTTTTATGACTGAAACTCTTTTACAAGCTGGGTGTTTTTTACCTTAAATTTTATGATTGGTTTATTCTGAAGAATCTTTTTCTATCTGATGTAAATATGGAAGATGACTGTGTTTGACCTATGTCTTTTACAGATATAATCTTTTTCTATCTGAATCCTGTCAACGACACCGTCCTATGTTTCAGTCATTTATTGAGCTCTTAAATCCATACCTGCCATGTTGTAGGAGTTCCCCTTAAATAGTGATTTCAAATTCGTATTTTGATCTCATGATAACATTCCTTTTTACACATAGAGGTAGACAAGAAATCCTTTTTCTCCTGAAACATATTGGTGAGTAATTCACTTGTAAAAGTTCATCTTTGCAACTCTATCTAAATCGAGTTTTCTGCTTCCTGAAAGCTAAATCTTTGTATTCTCAAAATGAACTTTCAGATACTATTTGGAAGATAATGAGCCTGTAAAGACCCTCTTTGAACACTAACTCTGTCTCAAAAGATTGTGCATCACTTTGTACAATAACTTATTTCTTTTTTTCCTCCAGTCCAGTTTTTATATGTCATGGAGGCATACGTGAGAATTTTGCTATTGTCTATCCTTGGGGATAGAAAGATTTAACAGAAATCACTTGATAGCAGGACTGTTGATGTGACTGACTCTTTTCCTCACACTAGTTCTTCAACAAATTAAGTTTGAGTTCTCCTGCCAAATTTGATTGGCAAAAGAATGTTTTTTTATATGGTTAGATATGCTTCTTTGTTGAGCTTCTTTATTGCTAAAACCTGTTGGAATAACACAGTTGTTGGTCTGATTAGATTGAAGAGCTGATGATCCTGGAGAAGATTCCTGAAGCCAAGACCAAGAGTATTCATTGTGTTTTTTGCAACTTTGAGACTCCACTGACTTCACTTATTTTTCACTCGCTGTCTATTGAAAATAGAAACAGGTTCATGAATCGAATTAATGGTATGATATCAATCTATTCTGGAGTTGAATTCAAGACTTGTACTGATCCGTGATGGAGTAACATTATTATGGAGCTGTGACTCAACCAGGACAACTCATTATTACTTTGATCTTGTTATTAATGTTTAGCTTTGGTCCTGATTCAATTTTAATTATTTCAGGCAAATGTTGCAGGCTATGTTCTTCAACGAGACAATGTGCATTACCGATAAGCTAGCTCAAAGTAGAGTTCCTACATCACCAGGTGGGAAGCACAAACATGACACAGAAACCTGAAGAACATGAGCAACAACAAAAAGCAAAGGTACTCTGCAGAAAGACAAGGAGAGAAGCACATTGATACAACCTAATGGTGCTTGAGGTGGCCCTCATTGGCCTTCTTGAAGAGCTGTGCTTGGGTTGCAGCTGCCTTATCGGAGATAACCGCAGCGTTGAACTCTTCCCTGACTTTCTGGGTGGTCAAGGCAAAGTTCCTGTTCACCAATGAGTTGAGGAGCGACGCCGTCCCTTCCCGGTACAGAGCTCCAATCCCGTCAGAGCGGGTGTTCGACAATGCCTCCAACAAACTGGGGTCCCTCCCAAAAGCTGAAACCGCAGGCAAACCGAAGAATTCGCCCAAGGTGCACCAGTACCCCAACAAAGCCAATATTGCTTCAGGGTGTGCTCTCCAGTAGCTGAAGAGGGGGAAACCAAAGCATGAACAAGGCCCGAAAACAACATGTTGAGATTGAGATGTGCTTACTCGCAGCTGAACGGTGAGGAGTTGGGATTTGTTGGAGCAGGCGGGACGAGTGTAGGAGATGGAGGGTTGGTGATCACTGGAGCAGATGGTGGTGTCAATGGTGCACTCTGAGACGGCACACCACTACCGCTTCTGCCTCCATGCGATGGCGTCGTGTGTGGGGTGCCATGTGAAGCTGCACCATGCAAGACATACATGTGTTACAACTTTTTGCAAGTCCTCCATCAATATCAATGGCATAGGAGACATTTTACAATGGGGATTACCTTCAGGTGATTCTGTAGTGGAGTAGTTCTTCTCCTCAGCTAAACCACTATCAATGCTCCTACTCATGGCCGGAGTGACTGTCACCTGCTGAGAAACCAACCATATCAGTAGAGAACACATGAGAACAGACTTCCCATTCTTGCGACTCCCCATGCTCTACAGAAACAAGCTCAGAGAAACACAGATGGAATGAGGGCGTGAAGGGTGAATGCCCATTTATACACATGAAAATGAAGGGAGCAGCTTGGATTAATGGCACTGTACATGAACATAAATACAGTCAGACAGATAGTAAATGGTTAGGATGCAGCAGCAGAGTGCATTTAAATGTCTTAATACCTTGTTGCACATAGCTTTGGAGCAACATTTTCTGGTGGAGCTTCCATCATCTGAGATGAACATCATACAGTTAAGTGCACAGAATCCTGTCTCCTTTTGATTTAGATGTATCTATATATCCCATCAACTAAGAATAGCAGTACTAATTGATTCAGAGAAATGTTTGATTCTAGTGCTTGCAGACAGTGGACGATGATGCGTTTGGAGAGATGAAACAGGCTCCGACCGAACCATCTTGAAGTGGTCGACTAATCGAGCCCGATCCATTGGTGCAGAATAAGATCCAATAAGGTCCATGGATCAATCTTTTATAATCTCTAGCCAGCAAAAGGTGTCAAAGGTCAGGAGTGTCATCTGTGTACTCAGTGAATGGCTTCCTTGAGAATCTGTGCACATGAGGATGGAATGGATGTTGCAAAGCCTTAAAATAACATATTTATGCTTACAAATATTAGTATAATGTATATATGTATACAAATATTAAAATCCTTCGCTTGTGTGTATCCTCTACACCTTTGGTCACTGTAATGTTTGTGTGTAATCAAGTGGAGAATTACCAGCTGTTGTCTTTAATGATCAAGGACTTTTGGGAAGAGTAGTGAAGAAAAGCAGATGTAAGGTGGCTCAGCAGTAGCTCAGATGGAGGAATTTTTTTCTTCTGTTAATAATGTCTTCTATTATCTTCCTATGTTTTTATGTTTCTGGTGAGGTTTATGATTGGCCAGAACTGTATGTTTTCATTTGATCTAAAATGATACTATTGGATCTTTGTTATATAGAATGAATCTATTTGTCACTATCAGCATCAACTTCCAAAATGGAGAACCTCATTCTCCACTTCTTAGTAGCCTGCAATGATGGATTGGTGAGGCAGCAAGTTGAATTATACTTAAGGAAAAGGAAAAGATCTATCTACACTGCAGAAAGTAATATAGTATTAAGAGTATATAACTCATCTCATTCTTTCTTCATTGGTGCATTGAATTGGAAAGGAATAATGCTGAAGCTATCTTAAGAAAAACCAAAACCCTTAATCATCATGGTTGTAGGACATACATTCTATGAAAACAATACATCTGCATCTGAAATAAATACAATTGAATCTGCTCATGCTGGGCTGGAAAGAGCTCTGTACTCCATTATTGCCACATAATTATCAAGGAAGTGAATTTTCACCCTCTTTTTTCCTCTTTTCATTGTTGTGATTTGGGCAAAAAAACAGTTTTGCCTATTGGAAGATAGCTTTCTCTAGGGAGGAGATCACAATGTCTGTATGTGAGAGAAAGAAAGAGATGTAGTGTTCTAAGTAGGATTGAAAACAAAAAAGAAAAAAAATCGGGATATCAACGCGTAATCGGTAAGGATTAAAATACATATTGATTAAATTTTAAACGAATATGGAAATAAAAAAAATTAGTAGATAAACAGATCATAATATGAATTTAGATAGATTCCAAAATGACTAGATGAGTCTTTATTGAATGACAATAAACAAACAGATGGGTCCAACCAAGTAGGACTTAGGGCAACCCCACAGTGGTGGGTGGCTGCTTGTTTGACCCATTCCTTAAGCTTCCACAGGAGCCCCACATTTCATTGACCACATGAGCCATTGCCCTTCAATGTTGAATCTGAATCAGAAAGAGATGAAGAAAGGAATCACTACCTAATTGACCCATTTATTTGTCCCCACTTACAGATGGGCAACTATTCTGAGCCCAGCTGACAAGAAAGGACTATTTATAGGTCTCCATCACCTCATTGTGCTTGCTGTGTCTGCTTAATCTCATCAGTTTCATCCCACAACTTCTTTAACTCTCAACTTTTGTGTGTCAAACAGAATAATTTGGCTTGATCTAAATGTTATATAGTTATATTCTTTTTTTTGTTTTGGTCTAAATTCTTCATGTGCATCTCTTGGTAGGGAGGTTGGCTATTCTGATTCAAGATTTCAAGAGAAGAAGTAATTTCTCATGCACTACCTTCTCAAACCAATTCCTCTTGTCCTGAAACTTGAATTATCAGTTGATCATATATATATCTATATATATATATATA